AGTCTTTTAGGTGGATACCTCGATGCTTCGATCATGTCTACGGATGCTTTCCACATTGGCTGTCTACCCTCAGCTTTTCGAGAATCAATTCATTCTCGGCACGATCGACTTTTACCGAGAAGAGGGCGAGCGGCTGGTCGGCGAGATGGAGGTTGATCGGATTTTTTCTTTTAGTGGAAATCACTTGTTTTAGGCCCATGAATACGTCCAGCACACGATAAACCGGATCAATGAGGAAAAGGCCAGGTATTAACTTTGCTAATTTAACCAGAAAAAAACGAGATATTGTTAGGAAGGAGCGTTAATTTAATTTAATTGATATTTTTCATTTTATTAAAAGTTAAACTTGCTTTAGTGTTAAATACGTTAAGACGATAGAACAAATAAGAGGAAGGAAAAGTTTATCAAAATTCCAGACTCGACGGCTACCTCTTTCCGAGCACACGTCTCCCACTTTTTGCGGCTCTCGAGACCCAGATGATCCAGCAACGAATGGACGTTTTCGTCAAAAAAGGTATTTTACTCGGTCCCGGAAAACATTCCTTTTAGGCACCGCCGGTCTGCTTGAGAGCCGAGCTTTCGAGCAGCTCGCCCAAATGTACGAATTGCTGGCCTACGTGCCGACCGGGCTACTGCTTCTCAAGGCCGAGTTTTCGGAATGGATCAAGGTAGTTTATGTAAAAATCTGTTTCATAGAATTTTTATAAAGTTTTTGACCAGCCGCATTCCCGTGGTTTTTCCTAAAACGCTTTTTTCAACGCTAATTTTTAAACATTTTTAGAAATAAGCTTTAGAAAGCTAACATATTCCTAAGAAATCTCCTATATAAATCCTGTATTTTCAGAAATACGGCCGCGCGATGGTGAACGACCCTGTGCGCGACGAGACGATGGTAAAGGATTTGATGATTTTCAAGGAGCAGATGGACAGGTGGTGTTCATAGTGGTTTTCAATATTTTTGTATAGATGCATCACCGAATCCTTCCAATCCGACGAAAAGTTCACCCAGGCCGAGAAGGACGCCTTTGACTTTTTCATCAACACGCGCCCCGTCAAGCCGGCCGAGCTTATTGGTACGCGCACCTCGATTTTCTTTGATTTTTCTTTTCAGCGAAATTCATGGACGCCCGACTGCGCGCCGGGAACAAGGAGAGCAACGAGGAGGAGCTGGACCTGACCATGCACAAGGCCATGCAAATCTTCCGCTTCATCCAGGGTACGTTTTGAGCTTTTTTTTCAGTATAATTTGGAAACTAAGATTTTCGAAAAATCTCCAAACGTTTGATAGATTTTTCTAATGAAAATTCAAAACTCAGATTTCGAAAACGAAGAGAAAAGCTCAAAAGGATTCTGATCCTTTGAAAGGTCTTTAAAAAATTTTTCTTTTAAAAAATCCTTGTAGAAGTTTTAAATTTTTAAAATCGCATTTTTTCCGTTCTCTTTCTAAAATGACGTTTCGCAAAGGTCGAAACATCATTTTGAAAACAAAAAGTCCATTTTCTCGTTTAGGCAAAGACGTCTTCGAGGCGTTCTACAAAAAGGACCTGGCCAAGCGGTTGCTGCTCGGCCGCTCGGCAAGCGTCGACGCGGAGAAGGCGATGCTGCAAAAGTTGCGACAAGGTTTGACCATTCTCTAGCGCGTTCTAAAAATATATTGCAGAATGCGGTGCGGGCTTCACGCACAAGCTGGAGGGCATGTTCAAGGATATGGACCTGTCGGCGGGCTTAATTACGGCGTTTAGACAGGTCGGTTTCGGTGAATTCGGTTCTTTGGCATTTTCCTGAGGGGACGAGCATTTTTATAATTCTAGAAGTTTTGAGTAGCTTAATAGGAAGGATTTTAATGTCTTTTTAGTAAAAGATAACTGAAGCTTCAGCAAAAAAAGTACAAATTTCGGTAAAAACGGCCATTTTGATCGAAAATCTCAGTTTTTGATATCTTTTAATCAATATTTGTCGATTTTTCACGTTTAAGAATAGTAAAATTACAGTTTAGAAACACTTCTGCGGTTTATATTTGAAAACCTAGGAAAATTGCATCTTTTAGTACGCTTCCGCTCACAACATCCCGCTCAAGCCCGACCTTGGCGTGCACGTGCTCACGATGGGGAGCTGGCCTAAATACGAGCCGAAAGAGGTATAATCAAGTTTTTTTTTAATTAAATACTTAATTTTTTAATTAAAATTAAAAAATTTAGAAACATTAGGAATTGTTTTACTAGTTTTTTTTGGTAAAAAAACTATCCTTTTCAGCTGGTGGTCCCGCACGAGCTGGCCGAGTCTCTGAAGTACTTCAACGACTTCTACGTCCAGAACCACAACGGCAGGAAGTTGAACTGGCAGCACTCGCTGGGCCAGGCGCTGCTCAAGGCTAATTTCTCGCCGGGGGTTCGTTTTGTCCAAATTTAAGATTACAGGAATTCAGGCGAAAGAGCTGCAAGTGTCGCTGTACCAGGCGACGATTCTGCTCCTCTTCAACTCGAAGCCCACCTGGAAATATGAGGAGATTCTGGAGGGAACGAAGTTGGAAGGGAAAGAGCTGATGCGAACACTACAGTCTCTGGCGTGTGCCAAGCATAAGGTATGATTTTTTTCAAAGAGAAATTTTTCCTCTTCTAAGATGATTTTTTAATGCGTGCCCGACCAAAAAAAGTCACCATTACCAAAGTTTTTTACTTATTCATGACTTTATGGTATGCTTTAGTGGCTTTCGATTGTTAAAAAATCGGTTCTGGACTGTTAGCAGGGGGAAAACTTGTTTCTGATATATTAGGTATTATTTTTATAGTGTTTTAGTAGTTCTTTATTGCTAGAAAGTCCCAACAAATGTTTTTAAAAATTATCAAAACTCGAAAATTTGACCTTTGTTGACTATTTTTTCATGCATTTTTGAAAAAAGTAAAAATTTTTCTAAAATTTATACGTAGCTTTTATCTAAAAACTATGTAAAAGGCTAGAAGAATCGGTTCGATTTTGTTGTAGGGTCGTAGCGAAGCACAGGGAAAAATTTGGTTCCCCCCTGCTAAAAGTCCAGAACCAAAAAAATCGTGAGGCTAAGGATAGAAACTTGGTCATCTTCTGATGATCATCTTTCACTTTTTAGGTGCTGCAAAAGACCCCGAAGGGTCGTGAGGTGAACGAGGGCGACGTGTTCGAGGTGAATGACGAGTTCCGCGACAAGCTCTACCGTATCCGCATCTCGCAGGTGCAAATGAAGGAAACGGTGAGCGATCATTTATTTTTTTTTCTTAGATTTTACTTACATTCTTGTATTTTTAATTGTTTGAAAATATTTGATATTTGATTTTCAGCCGCAAGAAAAGAAGGAGGTGGAAGAGGAGGTCTCCCAGGATCGCCAATATCAAATTGACGCGGCGCTGGTGCGGATTATGAAGACGCGGAAGCGACTCTCCCACCAGCAACTGTTGCAGGAGATCTTTGCCCAATTGCGGTACGTATTTTTCTGGTACTTAGCTGTTAGCGGGGGGGGGGGGACAAAGTTTTCACCAGTAATCCCGTAACAAATATATAACAATATAACAAAAGTGAACCATTTTTATAAAATTTTATTTAGATCGTTTTACAAGTAAAATTTTCGGACATAATTTTCAATATGTTGAAAAAAATTTTTGTTAAAAATGTACAGTACTGTACAGCTATACAGATGCATAATGTGGATCATAGATCGGCGGAAAAATAAAAAGCTCATTTTTAGATTGAAGAGCTCGTAAAAACGTATAGAAGTTTTCTAAAATTTTGGAGTTTTAATAAAAAACGTATTAAAAAGAACAAAAAATATCAAGATTTTGGATTCTCGTATGTTTTTGAAGATTTTTAAAATTTTTGGAAGTCAAAAACGACTAAAATACTATAAAAATACCTCGTATATTATTAACAAATCTGCAGGCGGAAGAACCAAAATCGATTCTACCCCCGCTAACAGTACAGTACCTTTATTTTCCGGTCTTTTTAAAACAATTTCATTTTGCAGCTTCTCGGTGAAGGCGACGGACGTGAAGGACCGGGTGGCCTCACTGCTCGAGCGTGACTACATGACGAGGGACACAAATGACAGCACCATCTATCACTATGTCGCCTAACCAACATGTCGCGTAGAATTTTGATAAATAAAACATCAACTATCCACTATACCACTACCCCTACCCTTTAGTTCTTTTTGTGCATCTACCTTTGGCTGCTGCTGCTTGGGCCGCCTTCTCTCCACCGATTGTTCAAACGTGTATTTCATTTTCTTGTTTTCGGTATTTGTGCTCCAAGTCCCCCCGGTTGTTAATGTGCATCAAATAAATGGATTATTCACCTTTTTTTAACTTATTATTATTATTTTTACCCTTTTTGTAGTCTTTTTGAGTGCTTGGCGCAACTCAGAAGAAGCGTACTGCCGTGTTAGCGTGGGGCACAAGGCACAACTTTTGAATTTGGCCGCTGCCTGGCCTGACATAACGATATATGTTTTTTAGTGTTTATAGTAGGTTCCGATCACAAAAGCTTTATAAAAATTTCTTAGAAGTTCCGAAAAATCTAAAATTTTTGAATCGATTGGGTGATTTTCCAAAAATTGCTGCTAAATTTTAACTAGTAGACGTTTTGCAATATTCTAGAGCTAATAAGTGTTTCTAAACGGTTTTTGCTATTGCAAAACCCAAAAAAACTTTACAAATTTGCATTAAAAAGACGAAAAATATCGATTCTTCGACGAGAAATCGCCGATTTTCGACGAAAACCTTTAGGGTTTCGAAACTGTTTTCGCAATTCCAAAACATACAAACTTTACAAAATACAAAGAATATAGAGCGTTAAAAATACGAAAGATATAAGTTTTTCGACAAAAGATGGCCGATTTTCGACGAAAACCATCAAGTTATGAGGGCTTTCTGCTGTTATGGGTTCAAAGTTTGCCTCCCACGATAACGGATTTTTTCTAGCCCTAGCTTTAACCCAATTTCAGTGGCGTGGAAGCGGAAGTCTGGCATATTTCACGTACACGTCTTCCGCCAACCAAACCCCCACTCGGCAGCAGCACCATCTATGTGTTTGTCGTGTTTGTATGTCGGCCGAGGGGAAGAGACGAGGAATTCTGGGATCTGGGCGGGTAGCGATCTCTCCTCTACGCGCCGGCCGGCGAGACGATTTGACAGCTCCGCGGCGCGGATCGAGACGCGGAAGCCCCTATCCGAGGCGAAGCACATATCAGTGACCGTGTATCCCATCGTGGAAAAGCCACATTGCAGCTAACTGCCTGCCGGAAATGGCCATCTACAATTTCTCTCGTATTTTGGCTGATTTTGTATTACTCTACGTTTGCTAGTTTGATATCAGTTTTGTTGATTGCTTAAAGCATTGCGATACGCTTTTAAATGGTCCTAGTTCGTTACCGGGGGGGTTTCTCCATGGTTTCTCTGGTTCTGGTTCGTTAGCGGGGGGAAGGGGGGTTTCTCCATAGTTTCTCTGATGCTGGTTCGTTAGCGGGGGGGGACCAAATTTGTCCATGTGATTCTCTACGGCCCTATAACAAAATATTAACCATTTTTATGGCATTTTACATAGTTTTTAGATATAAAAAACTAAGGCTTTTCGACAATGTTTGACTTTGGGCAAAATGCATGAAAATGACCAAAATAAGGTAAAAATGTTCGAATTTTCCAATTTACAAAAATAATTTTTATAAATTTTTAGGATTCAAAACTACTAAAACCTCTATAAAAATACGAAACCCGTATAAAAATACATACTGATATCAGCAGCAGGTAGGAATAGGTGGAAAACAGAAAGTAGGTCCCCTTACTAAAAAACCGCACACAAAATAAACGCATTTAACAAATTTTATCACGCAAAATCACCAAAACAAGAAAAACCGAAAGAAACGAATCTGACCGAAGGATTGAAAAAGTCTCTTTTCGCGGATAGCCGCTTGAGGGCGAAACATTTTTTTAGGAAGAGCAAGAGGGTGAGGAGCGAAAGTGCAAATGACCTATCACGATCGGTTTTTCATTGAAAGCAATCAAGTTACTTTTAATGTCTAATTATTAAAGGAATTATGAAAAAAATGCCATTAACCGGACTCTAGCGATCTAGAATAAAAGTAGTGCCTCGCAATTCTTTATCGTAATTGAATCGCATCTAAAAATTTTTATCTCCTGTTTCATAATTTTTCGATCTCATCAGATTGTTTTTCGAATTCAGGCGTAGCCACTCGATCCGGAAGAGCTTCTATTAAATCCGGGGCGCGCCGAACGTCTACAAGAAGATGCGCACGGCGCACGTGCTCTTTTTGCTGGTGGCCGGATGGGAGATTGCAGAGGCGAAGAGTCGGCATGGCCGGAAGAATAAGGTAATATAATAATGAAAATAGGGTAATGTAAGCTCAAGAAACACAAAATGTGATTAACGCCGCAGTTCTCCACTGTTGTTGGTCATTTCTTGAAACACGAAAATGTAGAAATGCTAAAATTGCGTTTTTACAAACATTTATTTTTATTTGTTTATTTATTTTCGACAAATGAAACTTGCTAGTATCAATGTAAAAAACTATCCTTAGAAGAATACGAAATTAAAAATGAGATAACTACTGCTACTGGTCGGTCCATTAGCGCCGCGCAGCTTCCCTTTCTCTTACCATTTCTTGAAACATAACTCTCTATAGACGGGCCAAAATGTTATATTGCTTTGCGCGGAGTTTTATTTGAGTTTTTGCGCGTCCAAAACAATATAAATTATTAAGCAAAAATACTGCAATTGGAAGTTTAGTTTGATTTTGTCGAAAGCTAGAACGTCGAAGCTCATTTTTTTGAAATGTGGCTGGTCGAAAATTTTAAGGTGCCGCAATTGCAATTTTCTGGATTTTTATAATTAATTTCGACAAACAGATATTTCGAAAAAGTGAAAATTCGCCAAAATTAATTCGACGTACTGAAATTAAATTCCATAAAAATCGTTTAGAACCCCCCGGGCCCATCTCGATCGTCACCGATGCCTTTTCGAAAAATGTTTGAAGATGCGGGGGTGGAGATCAATTGCCCGTCAGGTAGGGTTTTTGTCACTATAACCTTGTTGTTAAATTCATTTCTATTATCATCCCAATTTTCTTAAAATAAGCTTTTTAGAGAGCTTTATCAGCAATTCTGTAAAATTCAAATTTTTTGCCATTGCGCCTGGAAATTTTTTTCTGCTTTTAGACATATTCCCAACTTCTTCATATTACGCTTAAATAAGAGTAGTAATTAAATATACGCTGCCTCGATTTCCTCAACTATACTGCGTAATGTGTCCCACACCGTAATGGAGAAATTTGACAAGTGGAGAAGCGGTGTTTCGTTTTTGGAAATAGCAGTGTAATTTAAAATCCGTACAATATTTGCAAGCGTAGATGTTCTAACCTAAATTTCCCAATTTTCAGGCAACAAAGTCTACGTGCATCCGATCACCGGCGATCTGCAGCAGTGCTCACAGAAACTGGGTGCGTATTTTATCGAGAAACAATGTTTCAAAAAATCATATCGACTGGCGAAACTCTTTTGCAACAATGCTGAGTTGGTGGTTGGCAATCAATATTTTCAATTTTTCCTTCAATTTTCGATATCAATCAATTCCTACTATATATAAAAAAAAATAGTGTCTGTGTGTGTGTAGACACTTTGCATAGAATTCCGGGTTCCAGCCATAACTCGAAGGGGAAAGGATTTTTTGGTCCAGAAATGAGGTAGTTAGGGGTATTCGAGGGCGTAGATTACTGCACGCTTATCAGATTTTTACTAAAATAACGTTTTATACCTTAATTTAACGTTTTTAAAACATATGTAAATAGACTAATTTGCATACGAGAATTAATTCGGCTCATTCTGGGCTTTGCGGGGCTTGAAGACGGTTACTCACGGCATTCCTGTGGTGGCCAGATCCCTAACGTAAATTGTACATTTTGTGCAAATTATTATATGCAAAGCGGCCGTGCATAGGTCCCCGCGGAGAAGCCAGGGGGTGAAAAGCCGCGTAGCGGCTTTTCAACCCTGGTATCAATTAATTCTGGAAATTCCATTAAACATTATAAAAATTGTATTAATTCGGTCGGCGGTATAAAATGTTTCAAAAATATTATCGGAACGACGACGATCGGAAATCGTTGTCTGTGGATAAGTTGTTAGAAAATACGTAAAATTAATTTAAGCACGGGTGGGACCATTTTTTGTCCGCATTTTACAACCGAAAAAATACATCCAATTTTCAGGGCACGAGGCTTTAATTTTACGGAATATCGCTTAGTTTCCGGCGAATTTTGTACAAAAAGATCTGCGAAAATGGAGGTTTCCAGCAGAAAAAGAATTTTTTTCTAAGATTAAGCATATCGGGAAGTATGTTAAAATATTTAATTAAGCTGCGGTCAAAAATAAATAAAAAAGGCTGCTATATAAATCCGTGGTTTCTCGCTTTTTGCAACAAAACAATTGGCAAAAGAACAGGAAATTAATTGCAGCAGCTCGACTTGAATGGAATAAACCTTGAAACACTTTTTGGAAAAGAATAGTTGCTAATCGCTTTTTGCAGGATTTTACAACGAGACGTCATGCCCAGGGGGTACGGTGTGCGAGCGGTTCCCGATTCTCGTGCCAGGGTTTCAGGTATGTAGAATATTTTCGTTTTTCTACGCCAAAGTCTGGTATTTCTGTGCTCTCTACAAAATCCCGCGCTATCCCACTCGTCTAGGTTCTTTTACATTATCGGGGGGCGAAACTTTTTCCTGGCGGTCGAGTTTGGCCTAGCAATCGTCGAGAAAGTGTTTTAGTAAGTTTTCCCTATATTTGAAAAAGGAAATCTTTCCAAAATTCTTTTTTTTCGATCTAAAATCAAATTTTAATTAGAATTTGGTAAGCTTTTTGCGCTCAGGAATAACCAAAAAAAGAAGTAAACGCTTGCGCAAAATGTGAAAACTATGATAAAAATACTTTTCTTCGTATATACGAAGAAAAGTTTATCAAGCCTTTTCAAGCCATGCCTGCCTCTTTAAAAGGTTTTGGAAGACAAATGTAAATTTTTTGCCAGAAGGATTTTGGCGTTAATAAGCGGTAAAGCAAAGCTAATTTATTTAGTTTTCTTGAAGCATTTTTTTTGTAAAATTACCGGTCAATCAGCCAACTCTCGTCAAGTTATGCCAGCATTCGACAACTTCCTAAACAGTATATTGCTGTTATTTATTACGTTATTTTTAGAGTTGCTTCGAAACATTCATCTTTTTTACAGGACTACTGCTGCTGGGAAACGGCGAATTCGAGTGAGCAGAAGGGGAAAGGGACCACAACGAGTATGTCTTTTTTAGGAGTCATTGATCTATTAAGAATTACTGTGAATAGAAACGGCCTGAATAACGCACAATTTTTGTTCTTCTACCCGAAACCTAGTGTGCATTAATAGTCCCAAAAGCGTGCTAAGGCCGTTAAAAATCCGAAACATTTTTTTAGCGGAAACAGACACGGAGCATAAAAGGAAGAGAGCGAGAGAGACATACTATTTTTTAGCGGATCCGGATGAAGAGTTCCCATTTCCGATCGGACGGCCGGACGGCGGTGAGGTCGAGCCGATTATTGATCGGCCACCAGGTGGAGAGGAAGGTAAATGTTTCGTTAATACTAAGTAAAAAAGCATGCATTTTTTTGATATTTGACCAGCTTATCTCGGGGTTTTATAGTCTTTACGTAATATAAAACCTTTTAAACTTAGAATTAAAAGAATGTCCATTTCCAAATATGTTTTTAGGTTTTGGCGGCAGCATGGAGCTACCGGAGCGGTTGTCCAGCCGGAAAAAAGCCGAAGCCCGGCCGGCCAGGTAACAAATTTCGCTGTATTTCAAAGCATGTTTCACCAAAATGACTATAAAAATAGCGGGGCAAAGCGGTAGTGTTGAGAAAATAAACATCACTATAGTTGTGCAAAAAACAGCTTAACCAAGATTTCAAAACTAAAGTTAAATTGAACTAAACGTAAACTGTTGATATTAAAATTATTAAAACAGTAATTTGCGAAAACGTGTTGCAAAAATTTTTCTAGATCCCGACGACTACGAGCCGTACGGACCGGATGCGATTCCGGGAAATGGGGTGGTGGATATTGGAAATACTGGAGGAGGCGGCGGAGGATCGATTACAGGAGGCGGCGAAGAGAATAATGGATACGGTAGGTGCATCAGGTTATAGAATTTGATCAACTCCTTGATATACAAATCCCAGTGAAAAAATCTATTTCATAATTTAAGCAGGTAAAATTGAATTGCGGATAAATCAATGAGGTTTCATTAGTGATAAAAATCCTTAAAACATTTTGACTAACTTAATTTAATTTATTTTTCATTATTTAAATTTAATGAAATTGAAGCGCGTATTGTGGGTATTTTAGATAGAAATTTAATAGGGTATTTAATCGCTCTAAAAATAATCCGTTTTTGACCATACTTAATGAGCAGAATTGCAGGATCATGATTTGCGTTGACTAGCCCATTTTCGAAACACAGAATTTCAACCCGGAATTTTTTTAAATAAATTAAAATAATTAAACCAGCGGGATGAGTCCGAAACAAAAGCCTACTAAAAAGTTTATAACAGATAATTTAAGTTATTTTAATGCTTAATTTTTGTTGTGAAAGCCAAAGTGAGCTTCATTAAATAGCCCCAAATTCAGCTACCGAATAAATTTTTGACACATTAAATTTTAGAAAATTCGAAAAATCCTCTGTTTCGTTGTGGACTCGATTATAAAAAAAGATACGCAAAACTCTAAGTAAATGCCGGATATTTATAAATACATTAGAAAAAATTCCATACAGTCAGCTTTTCAGAAATAATGCTTTAGCATTCTCTTATATATCTGTTGTTTTACGAACAATTGTTGTGAACATTGTATCATCAAAAACCGAAATATCTTGAGTGATTTTCGAAACACAGGAATTATCAACCCGGAATATTCAAGTTTAAGAATAATTAAATTAGCAGTAATTTTCACCTAATTCTTCATAAAATCGGAAATCCTTATAAAAATCACTAAAACAAATTTTTTAGGCGGCGAGGGAAACGGAGAAGATTGGGAGGCGGGCGGAGAAGAGCAAAGTAAGCTTCACAATCTTTAAAATTACGCCAGGGATTAAAAAATGTTATATTTATTAATTCCACCCACATTTAGCAACAAGACGCACAAAACGGCCGCGAAATCGAAAAACAACAACGACGACCCCAAGCCCGACCACTACCACCACCACTTCAAAGTAGGTGTTTCACCAAAAATACGGATAAAAATTGAATGGACCGCTATAATCTGGCAACACGTATTTGACGCCCTTTCACGCCATTTTGCGCCCTCCTGTATTTAACGCCCTCCTGTATTTAACGCCCTCCTGTATTTAACGCCCTCCTGTATTTAACGCCCCTCTTCAGTCACGGCGAAGGTGCCGCTTGACCTAGCAATACGAGCTACGAGAGGCTCCGCTTAAGTTACTCGGTTTTGACTTAAGTCTATATTTGACTTGGCTTTCATAATGCCTAGCTTAGGCTTCCAAGCTTAAGCCCAAGTTGCGCTTTTCTTACTATTAGCTTCATTTTGCCCTAAAAATTAAGACGGGCGATGTCAAGTTTAGCTCACCCACATGCATCGGAACTTCTACTCTCCTCCCAGCCCGTGCTTGTTAATACCTTACTTTTTGTTTACTGAATAATTTGATTGAGATCCCATGACTTTTTCAGGCCTAGGCAATCAACTCGATATGCTTTATAAATCATTAAGGGCCTTTCTTTAGACTCCAAAGTCTTTAGACGTGTAGGCATGATTTTGATTTTCTTATTGGACGCAGTACGATAAAGCGTTAAGCTCCCTATCCCATACGCGAAAAAATTATGCTTGTTTTCCTGACAGCCTTATTAGTGTACTCTATACAATTTCCTTACGTATTTTAACTTTAAAATTATTTAAGCTACGCTTTTAAGCCATTAAAGCGCTCTATAGTAAACCTAGCTAGCAGGGCGTTAACTACAGGAGGGCGTTAAATACAGGAGGGCGCGAAAGGGCATTAAATACGGGTTGCCCTATAATCTTTCTCTAACCGTGTCGAACGAACAAAGCAAAGTCTTTCTAAATAAATCAATTAAACGTAAAAATATTTTTAATAACCTTACAAAGTTGCCACAAAAGCATCAAATTTGATGTTCCATCTAACAGCAATGGCAATAACGTGGGATGCTATCTTTAATAAAAGATCACTCCCATCTCCACTGCAGCGTTTGAAAAAAATGATTAATTAAATTTTCCTTTCGGATTTTTTTATTTTTCCCAATAAAAATAGAAAATTAGGATGAAGCAGAAATAGAAACTTTTATCGCTTCGGGATTTAATTAGAAAATGTCAAATAAAATGCTACATCGAACAGCATTTGAGACTGTTAGAAGAGAGTAGAGAAGAAGAAAGACCGTTCTAGAAAATCAAAGAAAGTCAAATTAGTTTCCATGTTAGGCCAGTTTTTAGTGGGTTTAAAACGGGATTAGGGTAGAATATTATTAAAATTGATTGGAAATTAAAAATAGAAAATCTCACTAAAAGTCATGAACTTTAAATAACGGCTGCACAATCTAACTAAAATTATCAAAAAATGTTTCGTGGAAAAACAATTATAGATGAAGGGTAAGTGGCTACAATTCCAGGAACGACTGCGCGACAATAGCATACCATCAATTTCAATAATTTCGTATAGACTTTTTGAATGTTTCAAAAAATATGCGTATTTAGACTGTCAAATTTTAAGAATTATAGATGACGAAGTTTGTGACCAAAATGTCTCAATCTTTAATGCTATAAATAAAAATACATAACAAAAAACAAAGAAAATTGTTCGTTTTTAGACCAATCTCGCGGCGACTGCCGAAATGCGAAAATCCGAGTCATTCACCACTAATTGATCGCGGGAATCGACTACGGAATTGCTACTATCAACAGTGCCCCAGGGTATCGCCTAATTCGGCTTATATTAACGCTGTATAGATTAGAAAAAACTGTTGGTTTTCAAGAAAAAGATATGTATCATAGCACATCCAATTCTGGGTTGCGGGGTTCACCTCGAGGGTAATAAACTTAAAACATTTTTTGTTTGTTCGTTTATTAATTTTTGCTTCTAGTATTTGACCCAATTGCGAATTCCCTTTACAATCGCACATAATTTTTTAGTCTATTTACTATATAGTTTGATATCGAAAATTTGTAGAAATCTACGAGATTTCACGGTTGCGTTTTACTAAGTGTTTCTAAATCCAAAAGAAGTTATTAATCTAACCGTTAACTAATTAGAGTACATTAGAAAAGGGAATTTGCTCAAGAAAGAGCTAAAGTCAAAAAATTAAAGTAGTGGAGCCTGTTTCGACCCTTGTCCAAGACAGGCTAATTTACGCTGGGGTCGGGTCTCCTCAGTTAGAATCCCTAATGAAAAATAAAATATTTCTAGTACTAACCAGCCAGTTATGGTAACATTTTTGAAACATCTTTACACTCCGTTTCGCATGTTCTTTTTCTTTTTATAGAGGTTGGGCTGTTAAATGACGGGAGGGAGCGAGAGAGAGAGAGAGAGAGAGAGAGAGAGACAGGCGAGAGAGACAGGCGAGAGAGAGACAGAGAGAGATGGCTGGGAAAAAGCGCCAGACCATAAACGCTTACACATGATCTTAAACGGCCTTTTCACTACGTATTAAAACCGCCTGTACGTTTTTCGCGTCCCAATTCCATAAAACACATAATTTTCTTCTCCGATTCAGGAATTTCGGTGTGAATTCAACAAAGACGTGTTGCGGTACATTTGCTGCGGTTCTGAGGCCGATGGGTTGCCGCCACCAGGTTAGAAAACAGTGTTACGTAAAATAATGATACGTTCAATCCTAGCATTTTGCTAATCGATTTCAAAGCTCCTTTTAAATTGAACCCTTTATAATGTCTATTATTCAGAACATTAGTTATCGGCGTTAAAAATCACTACCAATTTTTTTTTTGATTGGTGAATTTTTGTAGTTGCGAAATTTCTCATGGTGGAATTTTAGCATTTAATTAGGAAAATATAGGTTTTTGATAGTTTTATGTAAGTATGCAATAAAAATATAAGAACTTAATTATGGAAGAATTGTAAAGCAAAATAGGGAATTTAATTAAAGGAATTACAGGGTGTCCCAAAAGAAAACGACCCATCTGGCATTTCGCCGTATTACATCCAATCGGTCCCAAATTTGGACGAGAGGTGTATCAGACCTTAAATAACAACAATCCTGACTTTTAGCTCCATAGCTACAGTAGTTTTAAAGTTATAACCAAAATAAACTTTATTTTCCATTTTTCATAGGGTTGCCGTGGAGTTAGACCCCCCTAGACATTAAGTGAAAATGATTCGGTAGGCCTTCTTTACTCGAAGAAATTTTTTCCGGACCAGAATTAATCAAATAATCGTGGAATTAAGCGATTTTTACAACACAAAACTACCTCAGTTCTTAAGCGAAATTAGGGATTCACAGCCGGAAGTCGATGCAAATCGAGGCAAAGTCCAAAAAAATAGCCGAAAAAACTGTTTAGAATTGCGTCAAAAACAGTATTTTCGTTATAACTCGAGAACGACTGTAGCTACGGGGCTAAAAATCAGGATTGTTGTTATTTACGGTCGGAGACACCTCTGGTCCAAATTTGGGGCTGGTTGGATGTAACCCGGCAAAATGCCGGATGGGTCGTTTTTTTTTGGGACACCCTGTATATCTGAGGTCGGCGAATTGAGGAATAATATGATTTTTTCTGCTTAATGCTGGTTGTAACACATTTTTGCAGGGCTTCCACCACTTCCCAATCCTCGACCATTAGTGCCACGACCGATGCGGCCCAGGCCCGGGCCATATGGGCAGATGCTGAGCGACCAGGGTTTGTCCATCTCGCCATTTTATTAGAATTAAATACTACGAAAAATATGTTATTCAGATTCTTTAGGAAACATTAATTTTTACGAGGTTGCTTTAGTACAAGACGTATTTTTATTTTGTCGGATCTTCGATTTTTTAAGTTCGAAATGCCTTTTTAGTAGTTTGGAATTTCAGCCGGAATTAGACAACATGAAAGTCCGAAGAAACGAAATTTTGTTAAAATGAAATTTCGATAAAATGATACGCTCAGCAATTTTCCACGCTGCACTGGTTGAAAAAGCATGCTCTTGGAAGGTGCAATTTTTAGAAACATTCGATTTTATGAAACGACAAACATTTTTTAACATTTTAGAATTTGGTTTTGAAGTTTGGTTTAAGCTAAAAGTTTAAAACGTAAAAGTTTTGTTTATCGGCTCTTCCCTAGTTCTTGATAGTACCAACAATGCATTTAACAATAAGTTTTTTGTATTTCATCCTTGAAACATTTTTATTTATTTTTTACGATTCTATTTTTATGTTATTTTACGTTTTTTTATTCACGACCTGTTCTCCTATATCCCCTTTTTATTAAAGTAATTTATATGTTTCCCTAAGCTATATTGAAATACACCAAATTTAGACACCGACATGATCGACGACGATGCGAATCGTAGCAGCTCACCGGCGTCGGCGAGTACAAAGAAGCCGATTCGGTTCTCGTCTCGGAAAGGACATTTAAAGGTATCAGAAAGCCTAACTCAAAGAAAACAATATTTGGGTTATAAACCCTTAACATATCCTACTATATATAAAAAAAATAGTGTTTGTGTGTGTGTGTGTGCATTTGCATGCAACTTCCGTCAGGGTGTCCAGAGGATATCTCGAGAGGAGATGGGTTTGAGGAGGTGTTTGATACGTCATTAGATGCGTAATGGACTGGAGCTGACTGCACACATATCAGATTTTGTAAAATATGGTGTTTTGGGCATTAAAATTAAGTTTTCTTAAAAATTCCGACACCCACTTTGTTAGGATAAAATTAGCATACGCCAGAAGTCGCTGTGGCCTATATGAAGGCTCAAAGGGAGCGTTTTTCATTTTTTGTCATCGGAATTGGGGCACGATTATGCAAAACGAAGAACATCATAGGGTTAGACGGGACCAGGGTTGAAAAGTCGCGAAACGGCTTTTCAACCCTGGTCTTTATAAAAAATTTTTTTTAAAAATTCAAAAATTTTGTTTAAGCAACTTTAAACCTTTTTGAAGGTCGGAAGAATGTATTAATTCGGGGTTGGCAACCGCATTTATTGAAAAAAATAACTAGCATTTAACATAAATTTAGTATCGCCATTAGCTGCGGATAGATCGAAGCAAGGACTTTGCATGGAATTATTGCAAAAAAAAACTGCGGGGTGGAACTTGTTCGGTAAAACCTGATTTTGTTCAATTTTTGGATCACCCTCAGGTTTTTCTTTTTCGATTTAAATTAATCTATCTAAATTGAATCCCTCAATTTAATCTAAAGTACTATTCAAGAGCTTTTTCAGGAAATCGGCGACGATGGTAAAGTCCCGGCCACCAACCAGCACTATCCAAATGAACACGGCATTCGCCCACCCAACGACCGTATGTTTCATTTCATTACAGGGATCAGATGGCATTTTTTGCTGTAATTAGGATGCCATACCACTGGGATTTACGCTGTTTAGGGAAGGAGCGTAATATATCCATTAGCTTCCTCCCGCCCCTGTGAAGTTAGCAGGAAACACGTAAACTAACGTGAAAAACTTCAATGCCTCATCACAAAAAAAAGCACTAGAACAGAATTTTTCGTCGAACATTTAAATCTAATTTGTTTTTCAATGTTTCTATCAATTTTTCGGGATACGTCATTTATAGCAAAAACTGGGGGACTTTTCCGCTTAGAATGTACGAAATACACCGTCCGTGGACAGTTCAGCGCGCATAGGAGCGCCGCGTACCGATTTGCCAATCCGTGCCTTTTGGTTAGGGAATGGAATTGCGTGAAACTAAATTAGCAAAATTAGTTTAATACTTAAAATTACGGTTAAAATATAAAAAATAGTAAAATTAATGTTTAGAAGAGGAGAGCGAGGAGATGGACGGCATGATGCCGCCGCCCGGAAATCAGAATCACGAAATTCACGCAAATATCCGAAGGCCACCACCACAGATTAATGTCGGACCACCGGCACCGCAAGGTAATTATAGCGCATAAAATCAATAAAACAAATACATGATCCAATCCATGATTGTTCGTGAAATTGCTTCGTGTTTCTAGGCTATTGGTTGAAACACCGGATTGTAAGCTCGAAAAGTCTATTTTTTCGGGAGTCCTGTTGGCAAACATGATAATCGTTTTAAAATATAGCCTTGAAATGGAAAATAGTAATCTTCTAAATTAACAAATAGTGATGTAAAATTTTGGACTCTTTGCTCGTTTTTCATACATTTTTGACGAAAAAGCCAAGTTCCCAACAAAAAATTATAATTTTTTTATGTATGTTTTATATCCAAAACTCCTGCCGTATCTTAAGGCTAACGTGCTGGTAAGCTTAGATATATTTTCAAAGAACGAACACAGAAGGTATTAATAGTTTTGATTTCTCGCTGCATTGCGCCATTTCTTTAAACATCGATATTTCAGATACAGATCCGAATACCCAACTTGGAATTTTCGGATAATCTTAAATTTATTTAATTTAATATAGAAACTTGCTTATTTCAATAGCCACATATAAATACAGTAAGCTAGTATTTTTTCAGGGTTTAAATGCGAGAATAACGGCGTGATGATGGGCGGTGGGGGTAATTGTGGCGGAGGCTGCCCGGCGAATTGTGGATGTCCGATGATGTGTGGATGTCCTTTTGGGTGGGTTTAAGGATTATGTAATAATAGTAAAAAAGTAATAATAATAACGCATTTAAGCAATTATCAAATATAAGCTTTGCAATAATACCTTTTTACTTTGCAAACTAAATATGTTTCAATCTTGGAACAACTTGTGTGTTTTTGACAAACCCACAGTATTACCACTTTCGGTTCTTTAGGATTCCCGGGGGGGGGGGAAAGTATTCCCGGGGGGGGAAAACAAATTTTTTTCGGCGAAAGCCTAGATTTTTGTATAAATTGCGGATGCGTTTCTAAATTGTTTTTAACTATTCCTGTGCATAAAAACTACACACATTTTAACCAAAAAAATGTAAAAAATTAAAAATTAGGTCGAAAAATAGACCCAAAATGACCAAATTTTCGACTTTTTCAAACATTTTTCTAAATTTTTCTGAAAGTTATTCCGCTCTAAATATAGTTAAAACTTACTAAAAACAATTCGAAAACACTTTATATTTGATTACTAGGCCAACCGGGACCACCAGGAAAAAAATTGGTTTCCCCCCCCGGGAATACTTTCCCCCCCCGGGAATCCTAAAGAACCCCACTTTCAATTTCTCATACTTGTTTCTTTAGCCGATTTTAATAGAACGATGCAACAATATTGTTTAATTTAATTACGAAATTAATTAAACAATATTTAATTTAATTATGAAAATGATTTTGGATGCCTTTTGCTTTATAATTTGACTGAATTTAACGGAAACCCGATTTTTAGCCGCATAGCGATAAAAAACACTAATTTTTAAAATTCTTTGAAAACGATACTTGAAGTCTATTAAGTTCGCATACCTTCCCAGCAAACGATTGATATTTTTATCTTAAAAGCAAAATGTTTTAATTTTTTTACGCCCTTGCGGGAACCGAAAGCGGTAGTAAACTTAGCATCCTTGAGGCCAGTTCTGATTTGAGTTAGAATAGTTTTTATTTTATTTATCTGAATTTTTGCAGGTTCTGCTATCAGTATGTCGAAATCATTTAGTCGTGATCTCATTTTGTGAAAAGCATTTTTCCGAAATCAAATTTCTTGAAACTTCGAAATATCATTTTACAGAAATTTAATTTTTTCAATTTCTTTTCAAATCGAAATTTTATTTTATTATTTTTATTCTCGTCAAAATTGTAGAACATTGAAATTTCGGGGAAGGAAATGCCAACAAACCATTTTCGGCATATAAAAATTCCACCAAATTAAATCTTGTGAAAATGATTTTCAACAAAATAAAAATAGCCGAGTTTGCAGGATGGATGGGATGAACAACTGCAATATGAACATTGGATGCCCGATGCAAAAACAGTCTGAAGGGAATGGATGCGGCGGGTTCCAGAGCTCCGGATGCCCCTACTCAGGTTTTTAATATATACTATTATTCTTATTATTCTAATTACTTATAATATTAGCTGCCAAAGCAACCTAACCAATCAAAAATAAAAAAGCAACTTTAAAATTTTTCTGAAAATAGAATGTTTGGTGTTTCGAACAACTCTCCTTCGTGTTATCCATGATAATTGGGGTTTGCAAGGAACCGCAAAATTTCTTCGTTTGAAAGTTTTTAACATTGCGGAACATGGAGCTTTCGAGTTATCAGGGAGGACCTTTTGCGTTAGTATTCAATTTTTCTAGTATAAATCGAGGCCGTGTTTCTAATTGCAATAAAAATACAAATTATTTGGTAAAGAAATGCAACAAAGTCGAATTTGGCCGATTTTCAACATTGGCCGATTTTTGATAGAAATCCCGAATTTTACATTATTGAAGGTGTTTAGATCGTTTTACCGGGGGCATTATAGTTAAATTCTTGCTAAAAACAACGATTACCCATATTCCGTTCTATTCGAGCTGGCGCGAAAAAATGTTTCATCAGTATTTGTTAACCAATTTTTTTCGGGAAAATTAATCGTCCCAATTTTAGGATATTCAAAATCAAAGCCCGAATTTTTAGGCGGGAATTCGGGTGGGACTCCGAATGTGATGAATGGATGCCCGATGCAACCACAGCCACAACCACCGCCCACATTTTCTTCCAGAAGAATCGACAATAATGATAATGAGCATTTTCGAGGTGAAAATAATTGAAAAGGCAGGGTAGGCTAGCAGAGATTGTTGAGGAAGAGGAGAGGGCAGGCTAGCAGAGATTGTTGAGGAAGATGAGAGGGCAGGCTAGCAGAGATTGTTGAGGAAGAGGAGAGGGCAGGCTAGCAGAGATTGTTGAGGAAGGGAGAGGGGCAGGCTAGAGAGATTGTTGAGGAAGAGGAGAGGGCAGGCTAGCAGAGATTGTTGAGGAAGAGGAGAGGGCAGGCTAGCAGAGATTGTTGAGGAAGAGGAGAGGGCAGGCTAGCAGAGATTGTTGAGGAAGAGGAGAGGGCAGGCTAGCAGAGATTGTTGAGGGAAGAGGAGAGGGCAGGCTAGCAGAGATTGTTGAGGAAGAGGAGAGGGCAGGCTAGCAGAGATTGTTGAGGAAGAGGAGAGGGCAGGCTAGCAGGCTACAATAACTTTTAATACCGGCGCCGCATTGCGTTAAACAATAAAACCTGACAAAATTACCGGATGTTTACAAAACATACTTTTTCTAGGCGGTCCTCCTCCCGATAATTTTGGCCCTCCCGGCCCTCAACCACATCGCCCTCCCCCGGACCATCAGGAGAACGGGAGAAATGGTTTTTTATTGCTTTTAAGACGCTTTTAGCCTAAAAAAGTTTAATGCCCAGGCATTAAAACGCCTTAAAGGCAAATTTCTAGTAATAATAATAACAACAGAAAAAAAATTGAATTTGTGAGTTTCGCCTTCCACAATTGATTAGGTGTCAAAAACTTATGGATTACCAAATTTGCTTGAAACATTTTTTGAAATTGTTGGCGAATGCACACTTCTTGGCGAGTTTCTATAGTCCTGCCTTGCCCGTCGCTTCAATGACATATTTTTCAGAACGCCCTCACTCTCGTCGGCCGGCTCCGCACCGGCCTGGCCCGGGAGCACGAGGTGGCCCTCCTCCAATGGATGGAGACTACGGGGATTTCCCGGATTACGAAGGAGGAGGAGCTCCACCTCATCAGCCACCTCCACCTCCACAAAGGTATGAAGGTTATTTAAAAATAGGCTGGCTAGCAGGAACGCCGTAAGAACGGGGAGGCTAGCAGGGAACATTTGAGAAATGACAGGCTGGCATGGATCCTATACAAAATCGCGGACTCGCATCGGTTATTTGGGAAAGGTTAGCAGAAAAAGGGGGAATATTTGGAAAGGGCAAGCGAGCAGGGATTCCTGAGGGAAAGGCAGGCTAGCCGAGACCTTTTAGGAAAGAGAAGCTAGCAAAGAACATTTGGGAAAAAACCTGCCGATTGCTGAGGAAACTAGCAGAGATTCCTTCGGCAAGCTAGTAAAAAAGTCAAAAAATTTGTTAAGCGCAAGCTAGCAGGGATCCCTAGGAAATGGCAGGCTAGCAAGGATCCTTTAGGAAAGGGCAAGCTAGCAGACCAATTGTCTAAAGCCGACCTTTTCTGACGATCTGACAAAATCTACTAACGGCACACGATAATGGGGATGTATTAAAACTAAAACAAACAAAACACAACAAACCTAGAAGTTTGATGTATCATATTTTTCCTGGGTTGTATCAAGAACCGTTTGGTTAATGTACTTCCCAGATCAATGCCTCTAAATTTTATTTTGAAAACAATTCTAAAAATAAAAAATGGCGCTTCAAAAGCGCATGAGGACGCTAAATTTCTGTATGTTTTTTGTTTTTTGGCACGATTAGGCGTATTTTGTAGTCAGATGTTTCGGTGTCATTAGCAAAATAAGCAGGCCATCCAGCTGGAGAATCCATGTTTCATTGTTTTTTAAAAAATAACTCATGGCTGAATACGATAATTCTTTTAAACGATCGACCCCTCTTCTTGTAAAATTTTGATTTTAGACCGCTACCCCGGCCAGCTCCGCCTCCTTCTGGTGGTGCTCCACCCCTGCCTGAGCCGCGACCACTCACGCCATCCGCTTGTAAGTCATTTTAAAGGGAGCGTGACAGCTTTAAGGCAGGCTAGATAGCGCAGATAAATATTCAATGAGTTTGTGTTAGTGACAATCATAAAAAATATTCACTTAGAAATCAAAAACGAGGAGACTCTGAGTGATTGATTTTATTGATTTACCAGATTTATTTAGAAAATGCAAAAATGTCGATTTCTCGACCGAAATTTAGCCTTTTTGCAAAATTTTTAAAGTTTTTACATAGTTTTCCTACTTGAAATATATTTTGTTTTATTAAGAACATTATTGAAGCACTTGCTATTAAGTTGCTCCCCCCGATACTGGAAAAGAACCAAATAAACAATTACCCACAAACAAAAAAACCCGGATCGTAGCATTTTTCGCGAAAATTTGAAACTTTGGGGTGTACGTTAACAAAAAATTATTGCCTCAAAAATTTCCAGACCGGAATAAATTTCTGAAACACAGTTTTTCAGCGGTACTTGGGCCGATGAGCTCAAGAAGGGCCCAAAATCATGGCGGGAGAGGAGGAGGAGGAGGAGGAGGAGGAGGTGGGAATGGAAAGGGCCGCGGAGGAGGAGCGGGAGGAGGAGGTCATAGGAATTTGAGGCCCAACAAGGAAGGGCCACCAGGAGGCCATGGTGGTAAAGGTACGGGAACTTAGAATTAAAATATTTTTAACGGGACAAGATGACCATGGTTTTTGCGTTACATCGTGACACGCGACGCGCATTTCGCCTAGTCTAGCCTACCGCGAAGCGGGCATAGCAATGGAACGCGTGTCGACTGTTTTTTTTTCTTGTTCAACCGCGTTTTCCGCTAAATGCAAAAGACGGTGCTGTGCATTGGCTCTTTGTGATGAAAATATACTTTTTCCTTTTTATATTAATCCGACTTTTGCGGAAAAGCGCTATTTTAAAACACTTTTCGAAAAAGCCTTGATTGAAACCTAACAAAAATTTCTACGGCAACGGACTACATCGGAATTGGCCAAAAT